AGAGAGAGAGAGAGAGAGAGAGAGAGAGAGAGAGAGAAACATATCGAAAAAAGTCTGCTAATAATATTTAATTAGGCGAATGGAAATTAACGCGGACTTTGAATGCTGGATTTTCGTAAAGTAGTTACTATGAAAAATCCAATATGAATAGTCAATAGTCAATAGCTCTAAGCTTGCGACATGTGTGTTAGTGTAGTGTATCAAAGTATTTGTAAGTACGGGGCCAGGATAGGCCAAGGAAGAGGAAGGTAAGATAGCACACGGCCTGTTTGTCCTGCTCCAGGATTCGCCAGGTATTGATCGAAAAAAAAAACCGAACAGTAGCCGGCCGCTAGAATTCTCCTCCAGACCGACTGAATTCAAACTAACTATGTAGCTAGTGTCGAAAGTCCTACCACGTGGGGACATGAACCCTAGAACCTCCTGATGAGAGCCCGAGCACTGCAGTGTTATCAGTTATACCCCGACCCACCTCAGCATTTGTTGGTATACAATATTGGGATTAATGTACAATGACATTTTAGATGCAATGAAGAAGCGCACAATAAATGAACGGAATTATGAAACGGTGAATGTTAGCAATAAGAGTATCACGTCGTTTTCCTCAGGATAATCTCTTTGGTACAGGAAGGGTTTGCCCTTCGTAGAGTCCAGATGACAACTATTGGTTGAGTCTTTTAAAAGTGTTGTCGAGGTGTGATGACCTAAAACATCGCCAAAAATGAACTTTTAAATGGTCTTAAATTGTTTTTTAAAATACTCTAAAAGCAAGCAAGAAAGAAAAAAAATTGATTAAAATCAGCTCAGATGAACAACTAAAGCTGTTGGATGTATTGTTGTTGTAATCGAGGCTTCTTCCTTTCGTTCAAGTATATTCAACTTGCACACTTTTGGTTTGGACTATTATTTACCAGGAAATCTCTGTCTTAATTATAGCAAAATCTGACTTGTGTTGTAAGTTGTTATCTGCCCGAATTTTGCGTGATCCACAAACATCCATGATAACTACATTTCTACGTGTTAAAAAGCCTCCAAACGGAATTTACCAACGAAAGAGTAGTTTAGAGTGAAAGTTCTTGGCCAAATCCGGTACTTTTACTGTAAACTGCCTATAGTCGAGGAAATGTAAAAATAATAATGCGGTGACATATAAATGAGGAAACAGCATGATGCCTTCATACGAAAATTCGGAAACAGGGACAAAATAGGCAGGAATGCTAGAAAGAAAATAAACAAAAGACAAATTACAGAACGGTGTGGAAACGCATCCTACAACATGCAACACTGACTGCAAACATTGCTAGTATAAGCAAAACACAACAAACTGTGCCTACGCCATAATGAAACCACAAGTGAAATGAAAATACGACTCTGTTCACCTCTGTTCCAGTATTATCTTCGTATTTTGTTTGATGTCGTTTGTTGACAGTTTTAGGAAGAAGTTAGAAAACATGTCGGACTGTTTGTTTTTCCTTTCTCGCCCTTTTTTGAAGGAAAACTATTGTACGCCTGAAAACGGCGAATTTTCTGCGGAAAAACACATGTTACTAGGCCTAGTAACGAAAACTTCGATAAATCTTGATAATGTATGTACATTACTTCCTCTAGCCTGTTGTGTAGTCAGGATCCATAACAGAATCCGTAGGTCCTTGATACAGAAAAATCGATTGACGCCAAAACATCACTCTATGTCTGTCCGTCTGTGGAGCGCTTAAACTCTTCAGCCAATTTTCTCCAAAATCGATATTCCCCAATCGATTTAACTCGAGACCCTCTGAGTTTGAAAAGAATTTTTTTTATTGTAGTGTGTACTTGATATGAAGCCTCAACATTTTCAATTTTTTCTAAAAATGGCACCTAATTTTTTTTTTTATTAAACATTGTCCTCGGTTAGCGTAAAAAACGCTGAAGAGAATGGTGCAAGTGTCATTATCGCTGAAATCCCTGTTGTTTTTAAGTTCACAAATTTTCGGCGTTTTCCTTCAACTACAATATTGAAGATCAATATTTTTTTCCTTAACGAATTCTGATTCTCAAAAACGCTTCAAATTTTGTCTTCAATTTTTTTCCACGTACAAGGAGCACATAAAAAAAGGCGCAGGTTTCATTTTATTGAACTTTCTGAATTTTTGAAATTTACAAATGTAGAAATAATGCCAGAAAGTAGTTGCTGTTAACTAGTTTACTTGTTCCCTTCTTTCTCTCACGTTCTTCATAGTTGAATGAAGGAAAACAATCTTCTCTCATTACATGCATATTTTAGGTCCAATGTTGCCAGACAACTAGTATGGTAACAATCGTTTAAGATTATTTGGAAAGATTATCGTTCATGATTATTGGGAAAAATATCTGCGAGTAAATGCGCATTTGCAGTTTCTTCCACGAAATACTGTGGATAGAATTACACGAGATATTGGAACATACTGATGAGGCGTTGATTATAATTGAGAGTTTAGCGAGTGGTCATGAGTAGGTGTAAGTGTAAGTGTATGTGTATCCACGAGTTCCTGAGGAAACAGTGAATCATTGCGGAATTGTGAGTGGTCCAATGAAGAAACTTCTTCTCTTTTACGTACCAGCTTAATGCCCAATGCCGACATTCCATCTACCTGGAAACAATAATATCTAGGAAATCAGAGGATTCTTCAGAAATATAAATTACCACCTTACCAGTTTCTTCTATAAATTACCATTGTAGGAAATTAATGAGGCATAAAGTGGCATTTTTCTTTTTCTCACATTTTTGAAATCTTGTTATCTAAGTGTATGTGTGTCCCCATATTTTCCGTCCATTTCAGTCGGTATTGTTTTATAGTTTCCAATTATTATTTATTATCATACAGATTGTGATAACTCAAAATAAATGCGAGGGCGTAAAACCTTTGGAGACATATTATTCTTCTCAAGTTATTTTCACAAAGGCTTAGCCTGTGTGCGAGCCTTTAGAAAATCGTGCATATAAATGCAATGTATATCCACGATACAAGATATTTTTTTCGTTCTTAAATGTCGTATGTCTATTGCCCACAAGAAATTATTCCGCACTGTCGAGATCTCGACTGTTCGCTCTCCCCACGAAACAAACCTCTTCTCCCATACGTGCCGGTTTTATCTTCATTGTTGCCGCTCCAACAATGAAAACAACCGCGTAGCCAGACCGCGTCTTCGACCAACGCCGGCGGCAGCAGCGTGCAGACGCCGCCGCCCCTCCCTTCCCCTCTGTGTCTTCCCCCTCCCCACCGCCGCGCAGCCGTCTGCGCGTTCGTCCGCGCGCGGCGCTGGCGTCTGGCGGCGCTATCCCCGTCTCTCTCGCTCGCCGCGGCCGCCCGGGAGGGGCGCGCGCAACGGACGGAACAGCCCGTGCGCCGCGCCGAGCGGCCTCGCCAGACATGTTCGGCGCCTCGCTCAGAGCGGGCGCAGACCGCGCTACCGCGCCGTCGCCGGCCGCTGCCGCCGTCGCCGCCGCGCACCGGGCGTTGCTTCTCCTCGCCGCTGCCGCCGTCCACCAAACGGCGCTGCCGCCTCCGTAGACACTATGATGGAAACCCTTCCGGGTGGCGCCGTCACGGACGGCGGCCCGTCCTACAGCCCGCACCTCAAAAAAGTGCTCAAGACGTACCAACTGAGCGCGACCAAGAGCCTGCAGGGCCCCAGCACGGTGTTGGCGGTGGCGGACAGCAAGCTGCCGGCGGTGACCGCGAAGAAGGAGCCCGACGCGTTCCTGAACGGGTTCGACACCCCGCCGGCGCTGCTGCCCGTCTCGTCCGGCGTCGGCGGGGGCGGCGTCGCGACGTCCTCCTGCGCCACGGCGGCGTCGACCGCGCCGGCGAGCGCGCCGGCCGCCACCGGCTCGACCGCGGACGTGTTCCTGGCACCGCCGCCGTTCCCGCTGCAGCAGCTGCCCATCCTCTCGGCGCCCGACCAGTCGCGCAGCGAGCGCACCGAAACCCCGCTGGAAGGAGAGTCGATCGCGTGTTTCGTAGTGGGTGGCGAGAAGCGGTTGTGCCTGCCGCAAGTGTTGACGAGTGTGTTGCGCGATTTCAGTCTCGCGCAGATCAATCAAGTGTGTGACGAGCTGCAGATCTACTGCAGTCGGTGTACGGCGGAGCAGTTGGAAACGCTCAAAGCCACGGAAATCCTGCCGCCGACGGCACCGTCATGCGGACTCATCACGAAAACGGACGCGGAGCGGTTGTGCAGTGCTCTGTTGCACCGGCCGTCGGCGCCGGTACGCACGCCAAGCAAGGGCGCCCTGTCGTTCAAGGTAAGTGTGTGTGTGGAGTGTGTGGCGTGGTGTGGGCTGCGAGCCGGCGCGGCTGCCGCCCGCCCGCCCGCCGGCAGCGGCGGCGGCGGTGGCGGTGGCGGCGGCTGTCTGCCCGGTCGCGCCAGCCTGGCGTGCCTAACCCCCTCCCCCGTCTCGCCACCGTTGGTGAACCGGCGGGCTAGAGAGCGGCTGCGGGTTTTTTTGGAATGTAATAGCTGGGTCGTTGGCGGCGAGTGACCGGCGTAGGCGGGCGGCGTGCCTTTTTTGTTTTTGTTTTCGCCATGTTCGAATGCTATCGAAATGTGGCGTATTCCGCCGCGTCTACGTGTGTCGATTCCAAGAGTGAGGTGACGACCCTTCTACCAGATCAGACGTTCACAATCTACTTTTTTGTGTTTTCGTTCTTTCTGTTTCTTTTTAATGTAATGCCGGAGTCATTTTCGAGGTTATGGGCGGCATGGACTCAGGGTGTAATTCTTTTGTTTTCATCAAATTCGTTTCTAATTAAATTGTTGTGCACTGTCAGTGCCTTTCTGGCGACTAACTATTTTGTTGTAGTTTAATGATTCATTATGTTCCAAGCGAGTATTCCATTTTCATTTGTTATTTTTTATGTATTTGAATGGCGGTGGTTTTAGTGATTTGAACTCTAAAAACAGTTTGAACGAGCCTTTTAGAATTATAACTTCAGTATTTTCAATGCACATTTCGTTGTAAATGTCCAAACAATTGTAGTAGATACCTGCTTATTTCACTAATGTTTTGATATTGCATTGAGTATTTGTGTTAATCCAGGAATATAGTTGATTCTTTCGTAATATAAATAAACATGAAACTGGTTTTCCAGTTGTAGTTGTTTATTCATTGTCATTGTTTTAGACGAGAATAGGGTCATAGGTATGCAAATATTTTTCTGCCATATGTGGAGCAGTCTTCAGTTACCATGTGTGTATATGTGTGCAGAAACGTGTATATTTCTGTACCTGATGTCCGCTGTCTGGTGGCTACTGTAGATATGTTAACAGAAAAATAATTATGGAAATTTGTTTCAAAAATTGCTAGTAACTAGATGTTAAAGAATAGCGCATATTATTGTATTTGGATTATGATTGTTTATTGTGTTCGTTCTTCAGAAACCTTATGATCCATTGCTATGAAATTTTTGCGATGATACTTTCTAACGGTGATCCAGTACTGAGAAACTGACATCTTATTTATCACTATACTGATCACATGGACATGAATATATAAAGGGACAATATTGCCTGGCTATCAACCTGTGAAAATTAACGAGGTTTTGTAGCTTGACAAGATTTTGTTTCTGCGTATTAGTTCTTTTTAGGAGTTGTTTATTTTCTTCCAGGCTTAGCTGCTGCGGATATTTTTGTAGTTACATTTCATGAGTACGTTTCATGTACTAACCATTTCGAATTACTCGAGTTTTAAAGAAACGTTCTTCAGTGGAAAGTGTCTCCTAAGGTCTCTGATAAATGATGGTTAACGTGGTCAAAGAATTAATTCAGTTTCAGATGAAATAGTGTTGATCATTTTGTGTGTCGTGATACTGCTAAGTGAGAATAAAAAATATTTATAGCTTAATTAAAATGTAATCTATTTTTGCACGTGTTTTAAGTGTGGCTTTGCTTCGACGAAGTTAACATATTACTTTATTTTAATGAACTGTAATATATGCAGAAAAAGCGGAAATTACATGTGGCAATTAAAAAAAATCATTCTGTACTTAGGAAGTCAGTTCAGTGTAACAGTGTTTATGTTCACAGAGATTGTTGGAAATGATAAACCTGAGAAAAATTCATTTATCTTGACATATCCCTGCGTAATACATTGCCCTACATATTTTTACTTGTCACTCAGTGTGAACTTTTTAATGTGATTCTTGTTGTCATCTTTTAAAAATTGTATATTTTCTAAAAAATTATGACCAAAAAGCGACCCAGAAGTGCTCAGAGACTTTTCTTTTTTCCCACTGGTATGTGCCGTATGCTGTAAGTCGTTGAACTTGCATGTTGAATATGACTTTTTAGTCAGTCGGCTTGCGAAAAATGTTCTCTCCTACGCAAGATAATATATTGACATTAGCGTTCGCTGCCTATGTATAACAAGAGGGGGGCCAACAGATCAGTGCCCCCCTTCCATTAAAATGTTTGCCTTTCATCTCTCACAGTTTAGTAGTGAATAAAAAAAATACTACAAGGAGAATGAAATTAAACGTTTAATAATCCAATTAATGAATACAATTGACTTTATGTTAAACTATTAAGAGTACATTCCTAAAATGTATAATAATTTACAAAATTGGCACATTAAAAAAAGATAAAAATCGATGATTGAACATCTTTAAGGACAAAAATGTTTTCTCCCCGCGTTCCCTTATGAATTTTGAATGTTTTTAAAAATGTTTTGTGTATGCATTCAGCGACGACGACAATAGTAGAAGAAGTTAATTTAGAAATCTTTGCATGACCACTTACCATCACTTACTTATTTTAATTAGTGTAGGCTATTTTCAATGTATAGTGAACACTTGGTCAAAGTATTAAGCTATTTCGTTATTTTTGTCTTTTGCGTTTTTGATATTTCCGTCTTTATAAAAACATTCGATATTATTATTTGAATTGTCGTAGTTTCTCGTTCTCTGCTGCTAAAGAGGTTTTGTTATCAGCAGGATTATTCTATCAGCAATGTATTGTTATCGTTTCTGGAAAGTTATCACCGTTACGATACCAAAACTTTTCAGACGAAAGTTCTGTCGCATTGAAAAGTAATTATAATGAACGTTCGGTTAAGTCTTATTTCGTGTCAACGTATTTGGCAAAGAACATTCCATACCAACATGCCATTAAGAATGGCATTGTTCAAAACAGTCAAGAGTTTTGTATTCCAAATGTGATTACTCTTATCACATCATAAAGCAAAGATTGTTCTTTATATTACATTGGTTTGAACTGTGGAACTGTAAAATCTGTTGCTATTTCTTTTTTCACCGAAACTCTTTTCTGCGTCCTGAAAATACTCACTGGTCAGCTACAGGTTATCTTCTTTGGCAGTTGTCCTTGTTGTTGTCTACCAAGTAGCTGATAGTTTTTTCCTCGCGTGTATATCGCACGTGTCAGTATTTTTCTCCTATTATATGTACATACGAGGAAGTTGTTACTGGAAACCTAAAAGAAAAATCTTAAAAAGCGTACTTATCACTTTCAAAATATTTTCGCTGTGGAGGCATACCTTACAACAGGTAAAGTGTGGATCATGGTAAACAATGAATTTACGTCTTATTTCATATACTTCAAATGATTGCTATTTCTTGATGTAAATATATCTACCCTAATGTGTAGATTTTCTGGTTGCTGTAAAATTGATTTATAAAGAAGTATGAAACTTTTTTTTCTTGCTAGTATATTTATTTCGTTCAGTACACGTACAGTACACGTTCGTTCAGTACACGTTCAGTTCGTGTAGTACACTCTTAACTTTTTAATCCACACAGTCAACTTTCAATAACATCTTTTATTTCTAAAGCAAAATAAGAGTCCCCATAAGAGTTCTGAGACAACTTACACAGCATCTCTCCCACGACGTAACTCCATTCAGAATTATTGTGTGGTAGACCCTTTTTCGTGTTTACATAAGTTTGTCCGGTGTGAAAAAGAGAATCACGATCGTGAAAACTGGATGTTTTAAAAATCCGATATCTAATATTCGCTGTAGGCACCATTGTAACCACCGCCTCAACTCCCTACATCCCTCATTTTGCTCAAAAAGAGTAAATTCTTAGGAAAATTACAAGGCAACAACGTCACTGCCAATCAATATAACTATAAGATTGCCTATCTTAATCGGGTAAGAAACTTCGGATTAACGTGCAAAATCACTACTACTTAAAATGACGCCAATTAAACAATGTTTTGTAGTAGCTTTAGGATTCTTACGTAATATATTGGAAATTTATTTTTTGTGGCCGATAAAAATGCCTTGGAGTTCAGAGGTAATTCCAACTTAAAGTCAGCCATTTTCATGCACTAAATTTCATGGCTTTTTTTTCGGTTTGGAGATGTAATTCACGAACGTGTTTGGATAAAAAAAGTTATGTTGGTTTTGAGTTGTGAGAAAAAAACCCATCGAAATGAACTAAGATAACGCGTGAAGAAAATACTGGACAAAGTGAAAATAAATGTTGATGATCGTTATAATTAACAGGATTGAATGAACGTGGATTTTGTCTAGGACAGCTCTTTCCTGTCGTACTTTGCTTCTAGTAGAAGTTAAAAGAACAGTATAGACCGTTGTGACGTCATGGATACTCACAGCGACCACAGACACAGAGCTTTCGTATAACAAATATATTTATTAACAAGAAAACAAAACAAATATATACATTTAATAATCTACTTAAACCCTAGCTCTGATAGACCTACTATCTCCTGATCGCGGGAGCGATCCAAAACCCGATTGAAGATGGTTTTGATTGTGGCATTCGCCACTCCTACTTTTGAAGCGCGCACAAAGCCTAGCTTCCGTGACCGGATGTCACGCTGGGACACAAAGTCCGTTCTGGCGCACCAACGACTGGTTTGCCTCGATCGCAGGAGCGATCTTATCCGATTGAGAATCGGCGTGAATCGTGGCACTCGACCACTCTTCACCTCGGAGCACGCACACAGCATCGCTCCCCCGTGACCGCAGTCACCCAAGGACATAAAGTCCGCAGGCTTCGTCAACTAATGACTCCAGCCTCGCGAGCCTGGCCCGCATATGCACCGTCTTGGCGCCAAGTTTTGTGCACACGCACGAGGTTCTCCCACCGTCTCCAGAACCCACCCACTGGCTCTGTACACGCTGTTATATAGGCGAGGCCCACGTGACCTCCTACGTCACGCCACCCCCTCTCTTGTTATAACAGTGAAAAGCTTCTATAAGCCGGAAGACACCCAAAGCCTTGTGTCTCCCGTCTCCGCGTTCTTCCCTTTACGGAAAAACCC